TGAGAGGCTCCCAAACAGTGTTCCTAGGGCTTTGATATTGTGATTTCCTATTGTGTTGAAGAAATAGATAAGGGATGTGCTGGATCACACAAGGCTGATGGACATGTGGGGATGTGTGCTGGACCACGCAAGACTGATGGACATGTCGGGATATGTGCTGGACCACACAAGGTTCACATTAGGACCACATTAAACAGATATGTAGTAAACCAGTGAGGACTGCTACTGTGGAGGATTCTGTAGAACCTGCTGCACATAACACTAAAGAACATGTTTGGGGGTAGTGTTATAAAAGATACAAGAGAACAATAGTTTGGCCAGACTGAGACCGTAGAGGTTGTGGAGTCTGAGTGGAGCCTAGGGAAGTCAGGGCAGGACCCGGAGGCATAAACTGATGCAGGGAGCATGGAGGAGTGAGTGCTGCTTCCTGGCTCTTCAGTGTCATTTTTTTAAAATTTTTCCATTCAGTTATTTACACTTCCTTCCCTCCTCCCAATCCCCTCCTGCTCCCCCACACCTCCTCCTCCCTCTCCTACCCTGCTTGAGAGAGGGCCAGGAATCCTGCCCAGTGGGAAGTCCAAGGCCCTCCCCCCTACATCCAGGTCTAGGGAGCTGTGCATCCATATAGACTAGGGTCCCAAAAAGCCAGAACATGCCGTTAAAAACAAGTCCCAATGCCTTTATCAATGGCTCCTCAGTCAACCCCCATTGTCAGCCACAATCAGAGTCCGGTTTGTTCACAAGCTCACTCAGACCTGGTCCAGCTGAATTTGGTGAGCTCCCATTAGAATAGGCACACTGCCTCAGTTGGTGGACCAACCCCTCGCAATCCTGACTTCCTTGCTCATCTTCTCCCTCCTTCTGCCTTTCAACTGGACCTTGGGTTCAGTGTCATTTTTTATATCACTCAGGACCACCTGCCCAGGGCCGGCATCACCACGGTGAGCTGGGCCCTCCCACATCACTGGTCAATCAAAAACGTGCACTGTAGACTTGCTCACAGGCAGTCTGATAGGCTCATTTTTAACAATTGATGCTTTCTCTTCCTATAGGACTCTAGCTTGTTTTCAGAGACAGTAAGTAGAGGGGGATTTATGACAGTTAACACTGATCAAGGAACTTTGGGTGTTGCAGAGGACAGGAGGTTTTGAGAGGACATGGGCAGGAAAGACTAACCAACATAAAACATTGTCTTAAAACAGTTTAAAGAATAGAAAACAAAAACAAGCAACAACCAAACCAAACAAAACAAACCAATTTCTTCTAAAAATAAAATTAGGGAAAAAACCCAATGAAACAAAACAAACAGAAATCCCAAGCTACTGCTGAGTCAAGGTTGTAGCTCAATGGTAAATCATTTGTTTATCACATGTTTGAGGCCAGGAGGTCAAAGATAGCATCTCTACTCATTAGGATTTCAGTTCCACTTGGCCAGGCACAGGATGGCTTCTCTTAGCATACAGAGATAAGCAAGGTGACCAGATGTGGCCAGGCAAGAGCAGGGAAGAGGGATCCTTCAACCTTGTAGGTTCTTCCTTTCTGCCATTGCTACATTGTCTGTCTAATCTACTGAGAGATGGTTCAGCCCACAGGCCTGTGTCCTTCCCCTACCAGAGACATTTCAGGAAGGACTGGGGACCCCAGAAGCTAGAAATGCTGGAACATCTGAAGGTTACAGGTAGGCTTGGGCTGCTGAGACTGGGCCCTCCTCATTCTCTTCACGGAAATGTCAGATGGTAGAGCAATTCTGGAAATCAGCAGAGTGGATCCACAACACAGAGAAACAAAGAAAAGAAAAATTCCAAGGACAGAAGCAACGTAAGTTAAATGAAAGAGAAATACCATGTGCTTCATGTTTTCCACTTCTGAGACCACACGTACGAGACCTGTCAGGAGGCAGCTTAGGAGGTGGTTCCGAGGTTAAAGAGCTTTCTATTGAGTCAGAAGATCTGAGTACAGATCCTAGTACCTTTGCAGATCTGGGCTTGGTGATGCATGACCATATCCACTGCTCTGGTGGCAGGAACTGGTACATCTTGGGAAATCACTGGCTAGTTACTCTAGCTGAATGGATGAGCTCCAGGTTCTCATAATAGTAACAGTAATAATAATAATAATAATAATAATAATAATAATAATAATAATGTGGGGGTTGGAGAGATAGCTCAGCATTTACGAATACTAACTGTTCTTCCAGAGAAACAGGCTCAATTTCAGCACCCACCTGGCAGCTTACAACTGTGTAACCCCCAAAATCTGACACTCTCACATGATAGACATATAGGCAAAACCCCAATGCACATAAAATAAAAATATCATTAAAAAATAAGGTGGAAGGGGACATTGGAAGACACTTGACATTGCCCTGTAGTGTTCACACACAGATGCACAGGCAGTAGCATCAATACAAAAGCACATGCACCCCACTACAAATATGTACATATATAGAGACACACACAGACAGATATGCGCACATCAACAACTGTGCACACATACACACACAATGTGTACACACATGGACACACAATGCACAAAGACACATAATCACAGATATACATGCACACACATACGCACATACTCCCAAGACACATTTACATATACTAACATGCATTCAAACACAGATATATACACAAACAATACATGAGCACACAGAGATTCATGTGTACACACACAGTGACACATGCATTCACACACACAGATCCACGCATGGAGGTACATACACACACACAGATATATGCTCACACATAAAAAGACACATGCCGACAGACACATGCTCCCATAGATATATATGTTTACACAAACACATACACTCACATCTGCAGACCCATGCATGAACAGAGCTACATGCACACAGATACATGCTCACACAGATATATATGCATTGATCGACACAGGCCCACGCACATAGAAACATACTCACACAGAGATACATACACACACAGACACATGCACATATACGTGCATACACAACCATCTCATATGCCAGCACACATGAACCTACACCCCCACATATGCATACACACCACACACAAGCCTATATACAAATGCACCTACACCATGAACATATATGCCTACATAGTGAACATATGAACCCACACTCATACACTCTGAGGCATGGAGCACTGGAGCATGCTGGCTGAGCATGCATAAGTCCTTGGGATCAATTCCCAACACCATGAGAAATAAAATGGTAAGGCTGATAAATATAGTGATGTCTGACTGACATAAAACCTAAATGATGCTCAGATAAATGGATTTGTGTATATGCCAAGGAGCATAACCAGGGAAGTAGAGTGACCTCAGCTTGGCCAGTTCTGTTCTTCGGGTTCCAGGATAAGGGCTTGAGACCCATGAGACCGTGGGGAGGCAATGTCTGAGACCCTGGGACATGTCGATAGCAGTGTCTCTGTATAGCTGGGGCTGAAGAGCATGGGACACCGTTTAAACCAGCTTTAAATAAAGTTTAGGAAAGTGGCCTCGGATTGCCTGAGTCTGACTTGGATTGTGTGAAGACTAAGGTCAGCAATGCCATGTGAGTATACTCCCAAACCATCCTTATATCTATGGGACCCCCAAATCCCTTTGCAGTGAGACTTGGTGATCTTCCCTATGAGCAATGTCCTTAACCTGAGTCACATTGGTGGCTGGGAGTCACCTCCCTGACACACCTGACAGACAGCTGGTAGTGTGATCAACTCCTGAGCTCCGCTGTCCCTTTCCCTGCTGCTGCTTTCTTCTCTGTCCTTTCTCTGCAGTCATCACTGTGAGGACAGCAGCCTCCCAGCTCTGGGAGCCTTTCCAGACCTTCGTGTACCTCAGGGTCTCTGGGACCAATGCACCCCTGCCTTCGGACAGGAGTAGTGCTGCTTCCTTTCAGACTTATTACACCTGTCCCTGAGACCCATGGAGGCCTGACCTCTACCTGCAGTGTGTCACCATCTCAGTCACCGCTCACGTGTCATTATAATTGACAAAGTGTCACTTGTCACTCCTGAACCTCAACACTTTCTTCTCTTTCCTTCCATCTTGCTCTCCTACTTTCCCTTCTTTCTTATTGAGTATTTTCTCTCTTCTCTCTTCCTTAGCTATGTGTATGTGAGACAGGGTATCCTCATTACATACTCTGAGAACCCTAAACCTTGCTTTATAGCCCAGGCTAGCTCCAAACTTGCCATTCTCTGTCACAGATTCCCAAGTGCTGAAAGTGCAGGCTGTAGCATTGCACTAGGTGAGTTCCCATTATATCTGTCCCATGTCGGTTCTGGGAGCACTCTCCCCCGCCTGGAGAGATGGTCCGAGACAGGACAGCAGGGTCCTACACATCATCTTGATTCTGACCTGTCACCTTTGGCTATGGCAGGTTTTCTCCTGCATCCCTTCACTGTAGCAAGCTGAGCTGTAGGACAGCAGCTTCTCTAGCAGTGAGAGACCCCTTAACCATTTGTGACACTTCGGGATCCTGGGGATCTACATCAACATCTGTCTCCAAAACAAGAATTGTGCTGAATCCAAAAACAAGTCATTCACATTTCCTCACAGGAACCACAGAGTACTGACTTCTGTCTGCTGTTTGTCACCAACCCCGCAGAGGATGGGCGGGTCTTTAAGTGTGATCTAGGGCCAATCACTGGACACCAGCACAACAACTGCTCTTCCTATTTTGTCCCGATGCTTCCCCTCTCATTCTCCCTTCTCATTCCCTCCTCTATCTCTTCATCAACTCCTGACCTCCTCCTCCTGCTTTTTTTTTTTTTTTTTTAGAAAGGATCCTGTTAGATATTTCGGGCCATACAGCTTACGCTGGTCTTGAACTTGCAATCTTCTTGCCTCTGCCTCCCTTGTGCTATTCTGCAGGCCTGTGCCACAGCTCTTTCCTCAGTAAACTCTTTTCTCACAACATTAAAGTTGTTCATAGAGGAGGTCTGGGGCAGAGAGGAAAGACTGATTGTAGACTGTTGTCTTGGGCCACAGTGGAGACAAGGATGGGGTTGGACCAGGAATCTGAGTTGCAGCCACAGACCAGGTTTATTGGACATCAATCAGCACAAGCTGGGGAGAAGGATGGAATGGCTCTCCTTGCTAGCGCACGACTGCACAGAGCTCGTAGGGCTTTGGAATAACTGGCAATGAGAAGATGCCATAGTCACTGGGTCGGGGCTGTCCACTGGGCACCGAGAAGCTAAAGCGCTGCAGGAGGCTGGTGAAGAAGAGGAAGAGCTCCATGCGGGCCAGGGGCTCCCCCAGGCAAGCTCGGCGACCTGTAGGTGGGAAAGGGGCTCAGTCAGTCTGGGCCTGATGGATGCTCTGCCCTCCAAGGCACCCTGGGAAGAGACATGGAGCCAGGCATCCCACAGGACCTGCTGAGAATGGCATGAAGGCCTCATGTTTCACAAAGTGGCCCTGGGCATCCAAGAAGTGCTCAGGATGGAAGCGGAGGGGCTTCTCCCAGACAGTCTCATCCTTCAGCACTGAGGACAGGTTGGTGATGAGGGTCGTGCCCTGGCAGGAGGAATATGGTGTGAACATGAACTGGGGCGATAAGAAAGTGTTTACCGAGTTCACATGCACAGATTCTTGCTGTGTTCTCTGAATTCCTTTCCCAGTGCAGCTTAGCACCTCACTACTGAAAGAAGGTGTCGCTAACCAAGACCTGTCCCTGTGTGCAGTGCTTCCCAAATCCCCTGTGGTGTATTTCACTGGATGCCCAACTCCCCTGCAGAATCATGGACAATGGCTGCAGGTTGGTCCCATCACCATGTGGAAATCCAGAATGTGGCTGTCTTGGTCTTTACTACCCTTGTTTGCTATGGTAGGAGGGGGCCATGCATACCTTGGGGATGAGGAAGCCCTGCACCTCAACGTCATGGGATGTCATATGTGGTAAATTCATCGGGACGATGTCTGCAAATCTCTGCACCTCATGAACGACAGCATTGGTGTAGGGCATGCGGGCCTGGTCTGCCATCTCTGGACGCCGCGCCTGCCCTATGACCTCATCAATTTCCTTTTGGACGCGGCCTGGGGGAGGGGACAACATTCCCTCAGTTAAGAAGCCCCCCCCATAGAGTCCATGGGAGGAAGATGGGCATCATCCCTTGCTGGAGTCTGTGTCAAGCTAGTGCTGAGAGCCACAAGTGCCCTAAGTAAGCTTAAGGAGTTCACCTCTGCTTCTTCTTTCCTCCCAGCCCCAGCCAGACTCACGCTGCACATCCGGGTGCAGGATCATGAGCAGCAGGGCCCAGGACAGTGTGACTGTAGTTGTTACCATTCCAGCACCAAACAAGTCAAAGACAACCAAACGTAGATTTGCATCATTGAAAGTGCTCTCAGGGTTCCCTTTAGCCTGGGCCAGAGAGAGACAGTAGACTCAGAATAGAGAAGAAGAAGCCCCACAATTCCCTCCCATTGTCTCCAGGAGGCCACACTTGGGGGTTGACCTCACAGTGTACTGGACACCACATCCCATAGTCTCTCACCTTCTCCATCTCAGCCAGGAAGGCATCAGTCAGATCTCGGGGTGGCTGGGCAGGGTCCCGGGTCCTTCTGTGCTCAGCCACGATGTCATCCACCATGTCCATGAAGATCTTTTGCCCAGCGAAGACTTTGTCAAACAACCCCGGGATGCGTAGGAGAATTGGAAATGTGTTCAGAACCTGTAACAGCCATGCAAAATGTATGGAGTTCCTGCTGCTTTTAAGTTTAATGTGTGAAGGAAATGAGATTTCTAATATAATGATTACAATTTCAGTGTTTGTATATGCGTGATGTGAGTAGGGCTGTTGCCATGACAATTATGTTGCGGTCAGGGGAATTCTTTCAGAGTCAGTTCTTCCTACATGGCTCCAGGAATCAAACTCAAGCACCATTCTTGCTTGGTGAGCTCCGTTACCCACAGACCGTCTGTCTGGCTCGTGGCTACTTTGGTTAAATGTTGATCTCAACCAATCTCAGTTCCCAGCCTCTTCCACGATGGACCCAGGACCTATTCTCCACCCATCACCTGTCTCCTCCTCTGTTCCAACCTTTAGACTCTTGCAACCCAGGGTAACAAAGGAATAGTCTATCCTGGAAACCACAGGCCTGTGTGGCTTCCACGTAGACAGGGGGCACAGGTTCTCTCCCTTTCAAGAAGCCCTGAGTTTGATCCGTCCTCCCTGTCTGTTGTCTGAGGTGTGCCAAGGTCCAGGTCTTTCCTCCTGCAGCTGACTCCCAGAAGGCATCTCTCACGGCCTTCACACACAGCTTCCCCTGGGAGGAAGGACCGCATAGATGTGGCTCTGCGGGCTGCCCTGAGCCTCCTACCTCAGGAATCAAGCCAGTGTTCTCTCCCATATTTTCTTCCAATGTATTTAGCATATTGGTAAAGTGTGCGTCTCCATACTCAAAGCGACGGGCATAAATGAGGGATGAGATCACATTGCACGCAGCTTTGTTCAGGAGACTGCGGGGATGGAAGGGTTGTCCTGGGAGTAGAGAGGTAAGCAAGTCACTGTGCTGCTCATGTCTCCCTGTGCCCCTCTGCACCCCTCACCCATCACCCACCAGCCTGGTCGGAGAAGGCGTCACAGAGGTGTCCAGCCTCCTCTGTCACCCACTGCTCCAGGGATTTCTTGCCCAGGCCGAAGTTGCGCAGGGTGGACACAGAGAATCGCCGCTGCTCTCGCCACTCAGGCCCGTATGGTGCTAACGCCACACCTGCAGGGACATCTGTGTGTTATTAAGGACCCCGGCTGTGTTGTTCTCTGCTCTGGAATCAGAATCACCATAACCTTGCACCTTCAACCCCAAGCCATCTCCACCCCACTCCAACATGCTAGGTAGGCTCTGTGATGGATCAGTGGCCATTTGTTGACCTGCTGATCTGCATTGCTCCCTGTGTCCTGTCCTTCTCTGCTCACGGCCACCCATGCCTTCTTGATTTCCTCTCTGCCCCCACACAGCATTTTGCCTTTAGCTTTGGGGCCAGCGCCCATATGTTCAAAGACAGGCATTGGAGGGCGGTCAGAGGTGTACTCTCCACAGGTCACCAGCGCTTCCTGCACCGCCTTGAGTCCATTGATCACGACACTGGGCTTCCAGGCCATCTGCAGGCTGAACACGTCACCATAGCGCTGTCGAAGCTGAAGTAGAGGGGCAGAGCACTCAGGAAGTGCCAGCCCCCCAAAGATCCTAGAACCATGTTCTCCCCCCTCCACACCCCCGTGTGTGTGTGTGTGTGTGTGTGTGTGTGTGTGTGTGTGTTGCTGCTATTGAACCTTGGTCCTCACATATGTTGGGCAGATGCTCTTCCACTGAGCTCCATCCCTAGCCTGAGACCTGGTGTCTTGTGGCTGGGGCAACTCATCTTTTAAGTTTATCAAAGGACTCAGTAAATTTGGTCACCCAGCTGTGACCTTACCAGGGCCAGGAAACTGTCCTGGGGCCCCTCAGCATCTCATGACACACGAAGAAACTCTGGTTCCTTGAGATGGGCAGTGAGGCCAAAGACCCCACAGCAGCAAGTTTCAAGCAGCCACAGTCCCCCTCTTTGCACTTGGTCTCCTGAAAGGCGCGCTGCACTAGGCCTGTGCTCTTGCACCATGGTGAGACCTCATCTGTGACAGAATCATAAGGGACTTGGGACCTTCCTAACTGACACCCTGTCCAACCAGATGTGAGCTCTGCTGTCACAACCTGCCTCACCTCCTGTACTTTGCTTCCCCACCAAAACCTTTTGCTCCAGAAAGTTCAGAATGCCCTCAAATCTGGCATTGTCTGCCACCAGGAAACTGTTAAGCCTGTTTCTTTCTTGAGGGGGGGGGGTCCAGCTCCCTGTTTAACCTGTGTTTCCACCCTGCTAGGTACTGCCATGGGCACTGTAAGCTCTGTTCCCATCCACCATGCACTCCCTCACCTTGTACATGCTGTATGGCATGTTCTTGAAGTCCACCTGCAGCAGGTTGCCCAGCACAGGCAATGGCACAGGGCCTGGTGGGTAGCGGGCAGTCCAGCGTTGGCGCCGGTGCATCAGATCCACCAGTAATATGAAGATGACTGTGAATACGGCCAAAGGCCACAGGCTGTCCCCAGTCAGCAGCCCCATGGCTGCCCCACTGCTCCCCAGGCTTCCTAAAGAACAAGGAGAAACACCCACGACAGCCACCTGGAATCAGGAAGTCCCACAGCTTGGAGTCTGCCGCCCTATAAAGGACTGCCAGTGTTGCTCTTTGTCCTTTGCCTCCAGTGGCTGTGTTTTATTTAGTCAAGTGTAAGGAGGGGCCAGAGATGTGTCATCCCTCCCAGGGCTGAGCATAGTGCTTCAGCTGGTCTGAGCATGGTAGGCAGACGCCCAGGGCACCCTGCCTCAAGGTGTACCACCATGACATGTAGTGAAACACCCGGAAGGCCACACATGAAGCTTCGAGAGCTTGAGGACAGTGCCTCAGGGGACAGTAAGACCTCGCCAAATGGGATACTTGGTTGTGGAGACACTAGGGACTGACTGTTAATGGCTTCTATGGGTGTGTGGACAATGTGGGAAGGAGGCTGTAGCTCCTGTGGGTTAGTAAGAGGCAGCTGGGGAAGGTAGTTAGAGCCTCTGTAATCTTCAGTCCAGACCTGAGGTCACTCAGTTGATGAGGAAGGCCAGACACACAACTTGGAGATTTTTCAGATCCATTCTGAGATAGCTGACCATGACCTGAGGATCCTGGAGAGGCCACTGATTTGGGCCAGAAACATGACACATGGTGGCCTATGTCTCTTTTCAGTCTTTGCTTCTTGGAGGGTCCATCTCTCTCCCAACACTCCTCCACATGGGGATATGTAGGCAATGTCCTCCTAATCCCAGAGGCCTGTGGTTAGGATGGGTGACCATGAGTAAAATAACATGACCCTAAGCCTAACGACAAATAGCAGTTGTGCCCTGGGCAGTTCCGGGAACACGGCACATTCCAACTTATTACTCCCTAGTGTCAGTGAAGGTGCAGACCGTGTCCTTGCTGGGGATCCAGACCTCTGAAGAGCAAAGGCTCAGAAGTCCCAGTGGAATTCAGGCAGGCACTCTCTGCTGCATCCTCCAGTGAGTCAGAAGAGAGGCAGGAACTGAATTAGAGGAGATGAGCCGAGTTCACACTATGCAACTCCTCAGGAAGGACTGGACACTGGGTCATCTCCTCTCAGCTACCCCTGCCACTCCTTCTCTGCCCGCATCTGTGTCACCAGAACCTGTGTGGGATTCCATGGTTGTTGATGACCTGAAGACCCAAATCTGCTTCCTGTTCCTCTCCATGACTCCTGGCCCTGCCCAACCCAGTTATATAGGATGGTGCCATAGGTTGGAGCACAGCCAAGGGTCTTTCTTCAGCTCCAATTTTGCATGAATAGAGCTGTGAATGGGGGTCAGGACACCAACCTGGGTCACAGTCAGGAGTTGGGGAGAGACAGAGACAACTGTGCTCTGGTCACTCATGGGCTTAGGCTGGTTGCTCCAGGACCCTCCCAGGGTAACTTCTGAAACCTCATGGCTAGGCCAGGATGCTAGTTGTCACACCTTCTGCCTCTCCTCGGGTCCCCACCTCTCTTCTGTGTGTCACGTATGATGACGTGAAAGAGAAGCCATGGTGCTGACTGGATCTGATTTTCCTACTTCAGGCTGAGTGAGGCCCTGAGAGGTAAGTGCACCAAGCAGGCGAGGGGTGTCACATACTGTATGTTGTACAGGTTCCTGGTCTGTCACCAGCTCATGGGAGATGAGCTGGATGCTCTGGTAACATCTGCCTGCTAGCACTGTTTGCTTCCCTTCATCCTCAGTCCATGCCCCCTCAGCCCCGTGAGCACTTGTGTCCTGTAAGGTCAGTGTGACTTCCAGGGGGACTTAGGTCTAGGTATTCATGTCAGCTGTACAAGTGTGCTGTGCCTATAACAGCAGGCTTGAACTTGAAGTCCCTGGTCATCTGTGTTCAGGGGTGCTCCAAGTTCACAATTCTCTGTTCACATGTCAACAGATTTTATCGCTATCCTTTGGACTCTGCTTGAAGAGGACAATTGGAACCTGGACATGTCTGTCCTGGACTGTCCTGTGTGCCTTTTCCCTTTGCTGGCTTCAACTGCTTGGGTTCATTGAAATGAGGACCAACAGTAAATACAAGAGCCATTCCCAGGTCTGTGGTGGCAAGAGCAAAGTTAGTTGGCTTGTGAAGAGTGAGGTGGCTCATTGTGGAGTGACTTGCCTCTGCTGCCTTAGGAAATCTTAGTTTGGGTAAAGGAAGATCTGAGGTTGGTTGGGTGAAGCTCCTACACCAATGGTTACTTTACCCCTCATGGCATTATAGGATTTTACCTATGGAATTACAAACCACAGAACCTGTGCTTGAGATGACAGGAGTAGAATATTGAGAGTCAACCTCATATATAATTCCTGGATCAGGCCAGGTGGTGGTGATGGTGCAGGCCTTTAATTCCAGCATTGGAAGGCAGAGACAGGTGACTCTCTATGAGTTTGAGGCCAGCCTGTGAAGTTCAGGACAACTGGGGCTGTTACATAGAGAAACTCTGTCTCTAAAAACAAAACAAAACAAAAATCCTAGATTAGCGTTACTTATTCCCCAAATGAACACAAAGTAGACTACGGAGCTACATCATCACACCGAGTGAATCTTAATTTCAACAGTTGTCAGTTCTGGAACCTGAATAGGCCCATGACTTCTGGTCACAAAGAACAGAGTCCAAGGGGGTAGGGGGTAGGGCAGAGCCCAGCAGTCACTGAATTGGGTTACCCAGTTGTGCTCTTTCCCATGTGGGTGAGCAGTGTCATCAGTCTCAGGAAAACCTGAACTCCAATGGAATATGGTGGGCACGCTGAAGGCTCTTGATTCTGAGTGTTGTAGAAGTGTGAGCTACTCTGTGAGACACAGGACCATAGCTCACTTGAGACAATGCATCCCAGGTAGGAAGAAGGACCATCATCCTTGATCGTAGATTATATAATTGTGCATGTAGGACACAGGGAGGTTTCACAATACCATGCTGAGAACATCAAACAAATTCAACAGACAATTTCATCAAACAAAGTCAACACAAGAAAACCACTTGTTGTTTCTTAATCAACAATGATCCATTTGAGAACGGAATGACAAGTGGTATTATATATAAAATAGGATTAAAAGAACAAAGAGCAGGACAGTGGCTCTCACAGTATGCTGCTTGCTGTGTAAGCATGAGGACAAGCATTCATTCCCGAGCATCTGACCCACCAACCCTAGTGCAATCCCAGTGCTAGGGAGGCAGGAACGGGAGGGTGCTCAGTTGCTGGCCAGACAGTCTAGCTCAGTGAGTGGGTTCCAAGTTCAGTGAAACCATCTCAATAAACAAGGCGGAGAAGAGTTGAAGAATACACTCAACTTTGACCTCTGCTTTCCACACAAAATGAAGGCATGCATACATGTGCATTCGTTCCCCTCTGAAGAAGTTTTACACACACACACACACACACACACACACACACACACAAATATGTACACACACACACACAATGAATAAAATGTTTGCACAGTGACCTATAAAAATCGTCAGCAGTGACTGACTGGTATGTAAATGAAATGCACAGAAGTAGAATTTTAAAGAGAACATTAAGTCAGGAAGGCTTGCTTCATTGTTCATGACTTGGAAAGAAATCCTGGGAAAAGTTCTGGTACTCAATGGGATCTACACATTCAATTTAATTCCTATCTGATTCCAAAATTACTAAAATTTATATGGAATATTGAGCGACCACAAATACTGTCAAATATCTTTAAAAATGATACGTTTGGGGATAGTGAGATGGCTTAGTTAGTAAACAAATTGTACAGGAACATGAGGACGGGAGTTCAGATCCCAAGAATCAAACATTGGCTCATGTCTGTAATCTAACACTGTACCTGGGAGGACAGAAAGACCCTGGGGTTTGCTACCTGGACAGTCTAGTCACGTTGGTGAGAATGTGCTCAGAACAGACTCAGAAAGGAGCCCTGTGTCTAAAAACAAGATGGATAGTAATTGGAGAAAGTGCCTGACATTAATCACTGACTTCCACATGCGTGTTCCTATGCACACACATGAATACACATATGAGCAAACACAGACACACACACATTGGAAAACACACATTTCCTTTTTTGTTTATTTTGGTTTGTTTTTTCAAGATAGGGTTTCTCTCTGCAGCCCTGGCTATTCTGAAACTTGCTCATTAGACCAGACTGGCCTCGGACTCAGAGATCCACATGTCTCTGCCTCCATGATGGGATTAAAGACATGTGCCACTACCACCTGGCTACATCTCCTGTTTTCAAACAGGATCTCAGCTCTGGATTGTGATAGGGCTAAATCCCAGAAGACCCAGTGCATAAACTACGATGCATTTCACATTCTAACCTGCAGCACAGCACCATGGCACACTGCAGAGCTTCTTGAGAGACTGGGGCCAACTGAGATCTGTAACTACTTCCCAACCACCATCACCAGAGGTTCCTACTCAAGTGGCCTAAGAAGAAAATATGGAGTAATCACTGAGCGTGTGATAAGTTTCTGTGATCTCATCATTTAGGGTTCTGATTAGGAAGTCTGACATTACCCAGGACAGCCTAGGCTACCTCGTTTCAGCTAACAAAACATAAGTCAAACAATAGTAAAAACATATTAGTTACCCACTGGGATTCTATCCCTTTTGATACAACACAGTAAAAAAAGCCAATCACATCAATGTTCTGTATTACATATATGAACCTAATCATGGTATTATTACACAAAGACGACATTCCCCAAAGGAGACCACCTAAAAATCAGTCCCCAGAGACCGTCATGTGACCATTAATGTGGTGTAGGAGGTCCTTCTGCATTTGTGTTGCTTTCATTGGTTAATAACGAAACTACTTTAGGCCTGGTGATAGGGCAGAACTTATATAGGCAGAGAGACAGAACTGAATTCTGGGAAAAAGAAAGCAGAATCAGAGGGAGTGCCACCATGGAGTTGCCAGAGTCAGATATGCTGAATCTTTCCTAGTAAGCCACAACCTCGTGGTGTTACACAGATTAATAGAAATGGGTTAGATCAGGATGTGAGAGTTGGCCAACAGGCTAGATATAATGGGTCAGGCAGTAATTTAATTGATACAGTTTCTGTGTGGTTATTTTGGGGGTTAAGCTAGCCAAGCATTGGGATGCAGCCCATGCCTCATACTACATT